CGCCAAACTCACCGGGAAGGGGAGAGTGTCCATCTAGACGGGGGAAGGTAGAGACTCTTCCCTCCCCCGCCAATTTTTTTTAAGGACAGGTAGTCATAGGTTACCGCTTCGGTGGGAAGTTAAACAGCGTTCCGCGCGCCTCGGCGTCTAGCCACGCCGGCCGCGTGACCACGGAAAACGTCTTCGGACAGCGCTGGCTCTTCGGCTTGGAAACGGAGATGAGCAGAGCACCGCTACCCCCTCGAGTCGGACTGGCTTTCGAGCGAGGGGAACCCTTTACCTGATTCTCATAGGCATATATTGAATATGTAAACACCGCATTTCAAAAGAATGTCATGCAGGCATCATGCAGTCACACAAACCACGGACTGGTGATACTTAAAAGTGGCACAATCCCAACACAGTCCACAAGCACAGTCCCTCCCAGGGGCGATAACAGCCCCTAGAGGAAACACGGTCCATGCAACTCAGTGCCTCCTGGACTTGGAAGGGTTGAGTTGTGAATCTGCTAAGAGGCCTCAGACTCCACTTAATAGGAGATACCATTTTGACGTGTGCAGGGTCATAGCACCGACTAGACCCTTAGATGAAGGATTGTCTTCGAAACGGTCTTAAGAAACCGTGCGCTACTATCGGGGTATATACGGGATGGTATTTTCTCTAGGGACTGTTATCGCCCCTGGGAGGGACTGTGCTTGTGGGCTATTTTGGGACTGTACCACTTTTAAGTATCATCAGTCTGTGGTTTGTGTGACTTTACAATGGGTGCACGACATTCTTTTGAACATTCTTTTGAAATGTTTTCCCTTTTCCGGCACAGCATCCCTCCTAGGCTGGCACGGCAGCTCCTCCACCAGAGCCCCGACAAGCCTCGTCTCCTCAGGTGGGAGCCACAGAAGGTGCATGCACCTCCCCATCACAGGCCTGCTGTGAGACACCCCAAATGCGCTGGGATTCAGGGGGCGGGGTGTGTGGGGGGGGGCTGGCTCTTCCCCTCCCCACCACCTGCTCAGAGGGACTCGCTGCCGCTCGGTGTGGGAAAGAACCAGGGTCCCGGAGCCCCTTCAAGACCAGCAAGATACGGGGCAGGGGAGGCACCACAGTCACCCCCCGTCAGACCTTGACCTCTCTCTCAGCTCAGGGGGCAGCAGATCGCTGGCATCCCAAAGCTGCGGAAGGCTGAGGGCCACGCAGCCCAGAGGAAGAGGCTCCTCTGCCCTTGGGAGGGGTTTTTTGGGTGTGTGTGTGTGTATGTGGGGGGGTATTTCTAGTGTCCGCAGTTGCTGCTGCTGCTGTGCCCCTGGCAGCAGAGCTTCTGTGCGCCCATCAGATAGCCTGGGCTGTACTTTCCACAGAGATACTCGGCTTAGATCTGGCTCGCGATGGGGGCATATCTGTTGGAAACACTGAGCAGGACAGATATGAGCTTCAGATCAGAGGAGCAGAGATAACGCTGGAAATGATTCACCCCGGCGGCCTCTCAGGGGAAGAAGCGATATAGGCCCCGGAAGAAACACGGGCTGGCAGAGAGCTAGGCAGAGCCGACCCAGGCGACCACCAAGATAGCCCCCTGGCTCCTCCTCCGGGGCTTCCCCCTCTCCCCAGCTCCAGGGACTTCCAGGAGGGAGGGAGGGAGGGAGGGAGGGAGTGCCTCAGAAGCCGCGGCCCCAGAGGGAGGAGGCAGAACGACCCTGCGCTTCCTCCGCAGACGCTGCCGTACAGCCGGCTCTCCTCACCCCACCTGGGGCACCTGGAGCCTCTCACCTGAGCTCCTAAGGAGAAAGGCTGAGAGAGAGACGCTTCCTTCGCCTCAAGGGCTGGCTAAGGATCAGCGGCTGTGGGGAGAGGCAGCGCGGCGTGCTCAGAAGCGTTGCAATAATTCAACGGTTTATCATTCTAGATTTGCCATTAATAGTTCTGTCTCATATTATTGGTCGGTGTGTTTGGTAGGGGTGATGCCCGGGGGGCATGCAGTGTTCACATGGCTCTTTGAATGGATGGTGAATGTGGACCTGGCCGCCTGCGGGGGGGAGGGAGCACATGTGCCACTGCGGGAGAGAGGGCGTGGCTCCAGGCAACCCCCCTGCAGGACGGGTGGGGGGTGGAATCCAGCACCCAAGGAAGGCTCATGGCAATCTCTCAGGGACAATCTCTCTCGGCCACTGTTTGGCTCTCTCCAAATTCAAACCGCAACATGACGGGGGGTTCTGGGAGTTGTCCCTCCATACAAGAAGCATTCATGTTCCCCACAACAGTGAGTTCGTCTTGGGCAAATCTGATGGATGTCACCGGGTGTGTTGCAATGTGGGGGATGCTGTGGCCCCTGCCACAGGGA